TGGTGTCCGCCCTTTTCCGCTGGCCATGCAGCATTTCTATTCATTTGTTTCCCAGGTCTGTCACTGCTGGTGTCCGCCCTTTTCTGCTGGCCATGCAGCATTTCTACTCCTTTGTATCCCAGGTCTGTCACTGCTGGCGTCCGCCGGCCATGCAGCATTTCTATTCATTTGTTTGCCGCTGGCTGTGCAGCATTTCTATTCATTTGTCTCCCAGGTCTGTCACTGCTGGCGTCCCCTCCTTTCGGCTGGCCATGCATCATTTCTATTCATTTGTCTCCCATGTGAATTGGTCTCCATTCTTGTTGGCCACTGTGTCGGCTTGTCTCCCTTCTGTATCCTTTTGTCTCCCTTCTTGTTTCCCTTCTTGTTGTCGCTTGCAATCCTTGACATTTGTCTCCCAGCTCTGGGCTGCTGTGTTTGCCTCTGTCTTTACATGTGTCTCCCAGCTCTTGACTGCGGTGTCCGCCCTTCTTGTTGGCCACTGTGTCCGGCTTGTCTGCCTTCTGTCTCCTTTCGTCTCCCTTCTTGTTTGCACAGCAGCCCAGAGCTGGGAGACAAATGGAAAGGATTGCAAGGGAAAGGTTGGCACCCGCGACAAGAAGGAAGACAAGAAGGGAAACAAAAGGAACCAGAAGGAGACAAGCCGGACACACTGACCAACAAGGAGGAGACAAGACCGGAGACAAAGGGAGAAGGCGGACACAATGACCAGCAAGAATCCTTGACATGTGTCCCTCAGCTCTGGACTGCGGTGTCCACCTCTGCCTCGGAATCCTTTACCTTTGTCACCCAGCTTTGGGCTGCTGTGTCCGCCTCTGCCTGGCAATTCTTTACGTTTGTCTGCTGCTGTCTGCACCCCTGCCTTGCAATCCTTTACATTTGTCTCCCTGTGTCTACATTTGTCTTCCAGCTCCGGACTGTTGTGTCCGCGTCTGCCTTGCAATCCTTTGTTTCCCAGCTCTGGACGTCGCAAACTCTAGTTGCAGAGTGTTCCGATTTTGAAAAACGCAGGCTGTTTGGGGTCTACGGTGGTATAATTTGGTGTACTGTGCCATTGTGAATGGATTTGTCAACAAGGCTGACGTCTTGCTGAGCGATGCGTCAAAATCCACAGCGCTGCACTACGCTGCAATCCATCACGAGGAAAGGGCCGCAGGCTGCTAGAGCCATTTCTTCCCATGGGAATGCTAAGACTGCTCTAGTTCATAGTGCTCATGCTGACGATTGGCCAGAGTCTAGGAGCCGTGCCTCCAAATGTTTGTGCTACAACGGAGGGCCACAATCTTCACAGGTTGAAATGTGCACCCTTCTTTTGGAAGCAGCGGCTGATGCAGACTCTAAGGATGCATACGGCCCAGCACTAAGTTATATGAAGGCGGTGGGCTCTTCTGACGGTGCTGTTGTTAATGAGGCCGAAGTGTGTGGGACATTGTCAACACTGGCGATTGTCTGAGGTACAGTATGCATTTGTACATATATATACATATGATCCCACGTCCTCGTAGGTTAAGACGAACTAGGTGCATCGGTTCTTTTGTAGGGTTTGGGCTCACAGCTAATGGGCCTTTGCCGCGATTGTGGTCTGTCCTCGGGAGACGAGACCACCTGCGTGTTTTGCAGGGTACGAACTCGTTGGTGGACGGTTTGTGACGACCTTCCCGTTCCACTTCGCGGCTGGGCTATATCCTCCATCAGGATTTGGACTGGAATTCTACAGGAGGAGAGCGAGAAATTCCAGAATCCCAGCGACAGCGCGAGGAGGCCGAGCGCACGGCATCGCCCAAGAGTGCCAGCCTTGCAGCACCGGCGCAGACTCCTAAGAAGGGGAGTGAGCCTCGGGGAGAAGCTGACCGTCCAGACAAGAGCTGGCTAGAGCCCAAGAAAGAGAGGGATACCAACAAGAGCCCGAAGGGTAGGCCAGGAGTGGTTGACCTTAGCCCAATAGAGGAGGAAGGGAAAGCCTCAAGTGGATCTAAAGTTGTGAAAGAAGATCGAAAGACATCAAGGAAGAGGAGCCGAAGCCACAGGACAGATCCAGAAGCCGGTCGAGGAGAAGAAGGCGAAGGAGTTCTTCACGAAGGGCCAGGACGCCAAAAGAGGACAGAGGACGAGATAAAGAAAAGAAGGCTAAGCCGTCCGTCAGACCACCCAGGACGCCATCAAA